GAAGAAGGATGGCGGTCAATCCGACTAACTCAACTACGGACCATGGTGGTTTTCCAGCTGGAGAACATATATTTCCAGGCAAAAAGACAGATACTAAGGCAAAACATCGGGATCCCAATGGGGGGGAGGACTAGCCCAGTTCTAACATGCAAAAAGACAGATACTAACATGGCTCGATAGCAGGTGCCGAAGAGGAAGCGCAGAAAAGGTTGGATAAGATTCAGGACTGTTACCACAAAGACCTCACCCTGGAAAGGACAGACGATGGCAATGGGGTGATAGCCTTCTTGGAAACGAACCTGATTGTGGCGGAAGTACCAGCCTGGGTACACATGACCCATAGGTTACAAAAACATGGATACGATTTGGGAAGGGGGTAACAGACATTTCAAGACCATTAAGGATTATTCTACCCTCGGAGACAAGAGCCAAAAATAGGCTGTAGTGGCGGGGACTATCTGGCGGATCAAACAAAACATGCTTAGCCTTGTTACCCTATGTAGAGAGATGAGAATATTGGGATTCCCGAAGGAGGCCTTTTCTGCTGGGGTCTTGAAGGTGGGGAGGAGATCAGGCGGCTACTGGGAAGAGTTGGCCCACCAACTGGTAAAATGGTACAGTCAGGACTGATCTGGCAGAAGACTATGACGTCACGAAGCCAACGTCCACTGACACAGTACAAGAAGACCAGCCCTGCTGGCCTTGAGACAGGTCGATCGAAAGTTACAACGGTAACAAAAAGACGCGGCTCAGAACCAGACACAGACACTGCAAGGGAAGAAAAATTGACGGCGGCAGTAACCCGTGCCACAAACAAGCCGGCTCCTGTCTCTTATACACATCTAGATGTGTATAAGAGACAGAGTCAGGACTGATCTGGCAGAAGACTATGACGTCACGAAGCCAACGTCCACTGACACAGTACAAGAAGACCAGCCCTGCTGGCCTTGAGACAGGTCGATCGAAAGTTACAACGGTAACAAAAAGACGCGGCTCAGAACCAGACACAGACACTGCAAGGGAAGAAAAATTGACGGCGGCAGTAACCCGTGCCACAAACAAGCCGGCTCACTTACCCGCTCTTTTTTTTTCCGTTTGTCGTTGCTTTTTTCCAATTTTTTCGTATTTTTAATTTTTTTATTATTATTTTTTGTTTTTTTTTGTAATTTGTAGCAGAAGTATAGCAATTGGACGCGTGAAGTAGGTTCGAAATTGTGAAAGTAGTAAAGCAAACAGTATAAGAAGTTCCAAGACCGAGGGCGGGAAACACTTTTCTATGTGAGTAGTACAAGGGCAGAAGGATAGAGATCGCTAAGTTTTGAAGCGATGGTGAACGTCATGATAATGGTACTATGACAGTAAAGCCCTCATTATCATGATTATTCTGTGTTATATTGCACATATAGCCGATCCGATCGACCTTGCACCCGCTTGGGAACGATTGGTCGGTACCGTGAGTTCCCCTCACGTGTACTTCTGAAATTTTTCTAAATATTCTGAATATTTAAACTTATGAACTTTTCTCCTCCATACCTCTAGTCTCGGAAGTAGGAGTCGGATGTGCAGTGAACATCTTCGCGACTTCGCTCGCTCTTCAGGTACGGCTAGGAGGAAAGTATTCAGTCGCGGCTATACCGACGGACGAACACAAGGGCGGAACACCTCGACGCGGGGCGATGAAGGGAATAAGAGCTAATGGAACGGCGGCGGAAGAACGAAGGGATACATCTTCGCGCTCCACACTCTCGGAAGCAAGAGTTGGATGTGCGGTACATCTTCGTGACCTCATACGGCTACGAAGAAGGTATTCGGCTGTGGCCATACCGACGGATGAACACAAGGGCGGAGCATCTCGACGAAGGGCGAAGAGAGGAAGGATGAACTAAAGGAACGGTGATGGAAGAACGAGGGGAGGCGAGCCATGAGCGACGGACTGATCCGGGTTGTCCTGGGTTAGGACACGTGGCGTCGCCCTGAAGGTGGAATAAACTAGTGTACAGTGCGTAATTACGCGCGGAGTAAAGGAATACTTGTTAAAAGAGAAGGGCGTATGAACGGGAGAGGAAGAGGGAGGGGAAGAGGTAGAGGAAGGTGGTCTGGTTGCGGTCGCTACTGGATGGATCAGTCGACCCAGGCCAATGGATATCCACCACACCCATCAGCCCCACCTCAGCCTCCTCCACCTCCTCCGGTCCCCACATATCCCCCATATCCTCCATACCAACCATTCGCGCCATATGGCCAACCGTACTGGGGACAACCACCGTTCCCAACGGTACAGCCTGGACTGACTGGGGGAGGATATGAAAACGGGTATGGTAATGGGTATGGCTACAACAACGGTAACTGGCGAGGGAATAACCCGAATAGAGCATTCTTCACGAAGGATCAAGCTGACTTCCTGGAGAAGCTGAAGTTTAAGGAAGCAGTGCAGGAGGCAGCGAAGCAGCAGACAGGAGATAAGCAGACCAGCAACCGGAATGCAGAAACTGGATTGAAGATAGTAGAAATTGGAGCAAGGAAGGTCGAGGATAAAGAGGAAGTGATGAAGAACAGGGTTACAAAAACTTTTGGAGGGTCCCTGAAGCTACTCTCGACTAAATTAGAAAAGGTGGACCGGAAGTCGAAGCTGGCCGAGGAAGAGAAGGAGGAATTAAGGCGCCTCCGAGCAGAGAAGGAACTGCAGGAGCTCAAGGAGGCATCAAGCAACGAGAAGAGGAAGAGACTGCCAACAACTCCAACTACATCTCCTAAAGTGGAACGGGTCCGCGTGAAGTCTGCAGCAAGAACTCAGAGAACTTCTAACAGAAGAGTCCTTGTCTCTTAAGACGAAGAGGATGACGGGGCGAAGCTGATCAAGAAGGGGCGAGGGAATCTGACAAGCAAGTTTGAAGATGCAAAAGGCAAAGGGAAGGAAAAGGTTACGGACGACATGACAGAGATTAAAGACCTACTGAAGCAGCTTGTAACGAGCCTTGGTCAGACCAAGATGAATGCAGCAACGACGGATCCAGCTCAGGAGGGGATGAGTCGTGATGAGAAAGGGGAATGCAGCAAGAAGGGGGACGATAGGACGGAGGAGGGAAAGGATCAAACTGAAGGAGAGGTCTTCACCGATGATAGAGATGAACTGGGACTAGCAGGGTACATGAAGAACCGGGTGGAAAATTACAGCTCAATGCACTACACACACATCATGGCACTCTGCAAGGAGAGGAACATAGAGTACACAAGGAAGGGACTCAGAGTTATGGAACTGCCTCGCCTTGACTTGGAAGAATATATGAGATGCTTACGCGAAATAGAGGAGAATGGGGCCAAAGTGGTGATGTCGGAGGATAATGCGCCATCTAACAACAAGGAACAGGACATCCAGGGAAACTAGAGCTGCGATCTCTCAGATCCCCCCGACGGCTGTTTTCACGCGTACAAAGACTTTGTGGGAAGGGGGTTATTGATGAACAACTAACTGAGCGTATTAAACGATTGACTGTCTCGTTTGGCTGCCTTAACGGGAAGATAAAATGGGGTGGGTCGTACTGCAGTTTTTGGAACAGAATGAGTACTCTCGAGTTAGACTCACTTGTGAATGGTTCCGCTTCCTGTTGTGTATATCTGATCATCTCTCCATTTTGTAAGCTGACCTATGTGGGTATGACAAAGAGAGATCTTAGAAAACGATGGAACGAACATGTTTATGCCACTAATGGAAAAAGCTAGCAAAAGGTTCACAACTGGCTCAGAAAATTCGGGGACTCCAAATACGTGGCATTACCAATCTGGATAGGATAAGGGGAGAAGGAAATTCGAGCAATGGAAAAAGAAATCATTAAGAGCTTAAATGCAAGGCTGAATGGCAGGATAAAAAAAAAACAAAGACCAAGGAGATCAAGGAAAAGACCAGGTAAGACCGTGAAAAATGATGTAAAGCTGAAGGAACCTCTGATTTTCAACTTCAAATGTATAAATCATAAACCGGATCTTCTGAAACTGATAAAGAAGCTAAACAAGGAAAAAGAGAAAGAAATCTGGATTGAAAACAATAAGGGAAGTTTGTGGCTAAAAGCATGGAGGTTGATTAAAATGGTCTTCGGATATAGTCTAATCGAGAAAGAAGGAAAAAGAATGTCTCTGAAAGATGCGAAGGAAACGATCTAGGAAGGAGGGTCCTGATTGTTATGGGATATAAAACGAACGAAGGGGAAACGGGAAAGAACCAAGGCCGAAGTGATTGTGCTACTTCGGGCACCATGGAAAAGGAGGGAGCTCAAGAAGAAATCGCTCGATGAACTGTTGGAAATGGAGATTGTTGTAAAATCACTAACCTCGCAGAGAGATAGGCAGATCACCCGAGGTATCCTTACGAGAACATTGAAAGGAAAATTTGGGATAAATCCAAGAGTCTGGCTAACAACAAAAATCCCGTACAATCCAACTGTGAATAAATCTAAGGTCAAAATCTTGCTTAGTGACTGGGTGAAACAAAAGGTTCAGCACAAGACACTGGGGAGTATCCTACGGCAGCGGGTTCGAGTGGTCTGGGAGTAAGCTCCCACCATAGCTGACATCCTGCACAATTAGAAGATCTACACAAAGCAGCAGTCAGTCGACTGTCCTTGCATGGACTTTGACCTGCCCAAACACGATGGGCATGTTAGGATGCGACTTAGTGAGCTTAACAATGTTCTGGAATTCCTTTACAATGCTAAGAACTCTCCTATATCAGGGGGACTGGCGAGTAAGATCGATGTCAGCAAGGCCTGTCCTGAGGCAATTTTGCCTTTGAAGGCCATGGGACTGATCCACAACCAAGATCGACTGTGTATACACATGCACCAGATCGGTCGGGGGGAACAAGGTTGTGTGGCTGGAGCAGTTACTACCGAATACGTATATGGGATCAAAAAGGCACTGGAAGGTTTGGTGCTCTTCTCTGCGGATAGAAACAGTGGAGAAACGATTGTCGAATGCCCAGCCAGATACTCGAAAGGTATGGAGTTGATGTTTAACGGTAACAGCAACTACGAGAAAAGTATGGGGACCGAAAAGGAAATCCTAATGGACATGAGGAAGGATTATAAAGAAAAGAAGTTGGAAAAAATCGCAAAGTGGGATGGGAAGGGAAAAATACAAGCCGCATATATTATCCCGAAGGATAAGGACATGGAAAAACAAAGACCAATAATTTCCAGTTTTTCCAACCCGGCAAGATCGTTGTTGGGGTGTCTTAGTAAATCACTGCACTTCCTAATGAAGAATCTCGCGAAAGAGAACTTCAACCTACCAACCACGAGTGCGCTAAAACTACGAATTGGAAGAATAAACGAAAAGGCACATAAAAAATTCGGCATGGATAGTCGGATCCTCCTCAGGACATACGATATAAAAGAAATGTTCACAAAATTGTCTCACCAAGAAATCCTAGCTGTTGTGTCATGGCTGATTAAAATATTCCACAAGAAGGGTATCCGATGGGTCCGAATTAAGATGCGTGGGAAGAGAGCCAATTTTGAAAAATCACATGGGGAAGAAGGATGGCGGTCAATCCGACTAACTCAACTACGGACCATGGTGGTTTTCCAGCTGGAGAACATATATTTCCAGGCAAAAAGACAGATACT